TTATTTACTTATTTACTATTTAATTATAATTTATTTATTCAATTTTATATTTTAACAAAAATCTATTTATAATAGGCAGCCTATGTGGCGATCCGAAAACTAACGTTTTCCGTTTGGTTTTGAACCCGGATCTCCGGATTACAAGACCAAGGCACAATCCTCTGTGCCACCAGATCGCCAAAAATCTATTTATAGTTTACTTAATTATTATTTAAAAAATCTATTTAGAATGTATTTATCCAAATTTATAATTTAACAATGTAGTGTTGAGAAAGACTAAGTGAAGTCGAAACGTTCACCGATGTAAATACATAATTAAGAATAAAACTTTATTTATTTTTTAAAAAGCATCCAGTATACCAGCTCGTTAAATTTGGCCTACAAAACTCATATTAATTGTGTACACATAAAACGAGCGTCACCTCTACATTATTTTGTATATTTATTTATTAAAAAACCCAATTTTTATAGCTTATATATCTTTTCTAAAAATAATCATGAAAAATACATTTTACAGCCGAAAGAGTCCTATGCCCCCTTAAGCGATAAAAACCAAAGGTTGAGTCGTGATATTAAAATTGTTAAGCACGAAGATAAAGTATGTGCGTTGTTTACGAAAGCCGGGGAATGTCAAAACTGTAGGTATGATAAAACTTCTAGGTCAAAACATCGAGAAGGAGAGAAAAATTTATAAACAAATACGTAATATTCCTGCAAACAGTATTCCTGAAAAAAATGTAGCAGGTCCATGCACTTCGTCAAACTTTGTAATTTTCAATATAACAAACATGCCGTCACATTTAAGGTGTTACAGTGGTAGGGATGCATCACACCTAAAATCGAACTATAGTATCTTAAAGTAGAGATTTCAAGCTTTAATTTAAAAAAAAACATAATTTTACGATTATTTTTCGCGGAGTTACCGTCAGTCAAAGTTGACAAATTTTTGCATAAAATTTTTCTATGCCATATTTCTTTTGAGCAGTGTATTTAGCTGTCACAACTAAATATTAGCTGTCCATATTTCGCAAAAAAAATTTTGTTGCCACATGTAGTTTTTAGCTGCGATAGCTACATTTTTCTTTCCGTGATACTTCTTTAATTTCTAATCGTGATGTAAGAATATAAGATGAAATATTCCCGTGTGGATACGCAATCGTCCAATTAATGACGATTCTTTGACCAATCGGAAATTTGCCCCATCTTCAAAACCGCAAATTATTATGCATAATTATAGTTGAATGCAGAAAGAACTAGTGAACAATTTACCCCAAAAATTGGTTCTTGTTGCATTCTACTGCCATTATGCTCCATGTTTCATCTTATATTCTTACATTATGTTTCCGACGACGTTCATCTTGACGATGAAAAGTACGAGTATGAATAAATGATTTATGTATGTACGAGTATATACATAGAGATGAAATTGAAATAATGAAAATACAGATTCGCATATATTACCAATTTATTTTGTAAAATACATTATATTTGTGAAAAAAATTAATAACAATAAATAATAATTTTCTGTAGAAGTTTCCACGCCACATTTAGATACACGTTACAAAGTTTTTTTAATTATCCCTAGTTTTCAACGATTGCAAGTTGAGAGAGAAGACCAAAAAATTTTTATGAAAAAAATTGAAGAAACAAATTAATTTCATACGTATATATTGTATTTTTATCAATTTAGTATAATAAAAACTGTAATAAAATGTTACGTTTAGGATAAATAATAAGATATAAAAAATATGTATTGTACAATAAAATTTTTAATTCTGTTGTCTGCATGACGTTGTTACTGTCCTTCCGAATATCTATAAACAGGATACGGGAAAGCAAATTAATTGTATTGCGTTCCGTTATTGCAACATTCGCTAATCTATGTTTATCTCCGCTACAACAGAAGTAGAAAGTTTTCTTTTTCATTACATGATGTTGAATTGAGTTGTATGTAATTCAGTTTTCCGTTTTCCGGTGCAATTTTCTAATAATGACTATTTAAAGTGTATCCGTATCTCATACGCTACGTTGCAAAACGTTAATCCTTGACTTGCCATCCGTTGATCATAGATCAGTAGCACGAGGCCGATCTAGCAACGATCACGTTGCATCAATCCTATTTAAATTATGACGATATGTGAAACCTGCATGGCAAACTCGATAAAGATGACTCGAAGTGAAAACAACACAAGAAAAAGAGAGTTCAACCATAGGAGTCAATATCGTCACTTGGTTTGGCCGCCAGTGACCTCAATTTCGAATCAGCCGTCTGTCCTTTCACTTCAAAAGCGAGTCTCAGCGGACACTCTTTCTCGTGCTGGCTTAATACTGAAGACACGCGTGTTTCGTAAAGATACTTCAGTTCACTTCTAGAACGTTGATTAGTGAGTTGCTCGTCTCCGGTGCTGCTAGATTTCACTTTCATGTAAGTTTGAAAACGAACGCATTTCAATCGTCATGTTTTCTACTTTGTGACGGATTCTCTTCACTTATTCGATAGTGTTTGTTGAAAAAATAATCAGTCAAAGTGAGAATAGTGCGGAAATAATACAATAATGTAAATATAAAATAAGGAAATAGACTACGTAATATATAGAGAGCCGATAAAAAATGGAAATATGTATTGCGCTTTCTTGAAAGAATATGTTACATCCAATAATCTCACTCTTAGATTTCACTTTCGTACCATTCTGACAATAAGTGAGTTTAGCGAGGTATTAGCAGATTGATCCACATCCTGATAAAAAAATTTTTAATAAAAAATAAAACAAATGTATACAATTATATATAAAATATGTTTATATATTTTTCTTTCTTTTCTCTATAATCTCTATTCGGGAAAATTATATTAAGTATTCGATAATTAAGTATTAAATATTCGGGAAAAATTAAAAGAATTAAGAAACTTAGCATTGTTTTTTTCTTAAAAAGCAAAGAAAATGAACAAAAATTGCCTATATATAGGATAAAGGCACCTAGTATCACCTGTCAAAATTCAAATAATTCTCAATTAAAAGATAATTGATATTATTACCTGTATTTAATCCCAAATAGCGAAAACATTAGTGTTTCATTTATGACAAGTTAGAACCGTTAAACTCTAAAAATTTTTAATCTAGATTGAAAAGAAACAAAAGAGGTAAAAATTGGGACTTTGAAGAAGGGTACCTAATATCGGCCACCTTGCAAATATTTATAAAATTATCACAAATGTAAAAATGTTCCAAATACACACAAACATTTATATAATGTAAATTAATAAATATATATATTAATAATATATATATTATATTTATTATTTTAATGTAAACATGTAAAAAATGTTCCAAATACATACAAACATTTATATGATGTAAAATAATAAATATATATATTAATAATAAATATATGTAGGTATATATTTATTATTTTAAATCTGTTCGGGCTCGGGCTAGCGAGACGCGGCGCGGGCGCGGTGATTGGGGAAAACGGTCGCTGTCGATCAGCTGCGCGGCGATCACGCCGCAACCGCGTGCGGGACGCGATCGCAGCGGCTGATTCGCCTAACTATTCTCCGAATCCGCGTCGAGTTTCGGCGGACTGCTCTCTCTTCGCACCTCTCTGCGCGACACGGGGCAGCGAGATCTTTTCGCGGAACACACGTGCTTTAGCTTTCAGTGAAGTCATATCGTGCCATTATCTAGTTTCCGTAATAACGCTGCTTCGTACATCGTTCGTCGCAAACTGCCAGTATCGAAAATCAGCCGTTTATTACTGCGAAGTTTATCGGTCGCGGATCGAGTCAAAGTTCCTTATATCCTTTGTCTTTCCGATCCTAGTGTAACCGAGAACTACCTTTACTAAAATCATCGTTCCTTTTGTTAATCTAAACTTTGTATGTTACTAATTTGTAATTGTTTCATCATAAAAGGGGGGTTCACGATGATGAGTTCCCTCATCAGGCGTAATTAAGATTCTCTTAAACCACCTGAATAATCTGAGTGAACTTTTACTTTACAATAAAACTCCGGTCCGTTTCGCATCTTCCTTTGTCTCCGCAAGTCAAACCTGCCGTTTCATCGCTAGGCATAAACACGACATCTCCTCACCGACTTTGACTCGGTCAATCGCGTGTCGTGTCGTCGCCAACGGACAACGGTGACTCGGACGGTTTTTCAAACGACTAAGTTTTAAATACGCTCATAAATTCTCCGCGCCACACTCAGGAAAAGAGACCCGGGTTTTCCATCTATCAGTTATCGGACTCGTTGCATTCTACTTCCGTGTTCGCGGCGCGAATCGGGCGTAATCGCCTCGTCTCACTTCGCGTCTCTGTCTAGGCGGAATCCGCGAATTTCAGTTTCGGCCTGAGGTCGGCCTCAGTGTTACCGAAACATCTTTTGTGGTCCTTCGAGCCGGATCATATAAATGTTTGTGTGTATTTGGAACATTTTTTACATTTGTGATAATTTTATAAACATTTTTATTATATGTAATACACACACTTTATTTAAAAATGTTCATTTTATACATTAACCAATTCTTGAATAAATTGAGAAAGTTTTGTATTATTATTTATATACAATATTATTTGTTTGCTCTCTGTAATAATATTTGCGGGAAGGGGGCTGCAGGCACCCCCCCCCCTCTCACGAGTGTGTGTCCTCAATCGTACATAGTATCGTAAACTATAGAGCATTTTTAAACTTCTTTTTTTAATAACTCTTTAATGAACAATGAGTGACGGAAAATGTCAATGGCCTTGACCTCTTTAGGGGTCAAGATCCACACTAAGGTCAACCAGAGGTCATTTGGTGGGGGGTGACTTGTAGTCAATATTTACCAAGTTTTTCACCTAAATAAGAAATATTTAAAGTAGGTACACAGACTTCTTGCGTACGGTATCATCATTATGTATGTACCAGTGCAGATAGAAAGCGTCGCATTGTTACATACCATAAAATTGATACTAATATCCGAGCAATTATGAATATTTCAATTCAATTCAAGATGTTTATTGTCTTTTGGTAAATTCAATTTGTGTAAATATGAGTATAATCTGATAGTGATAGTTTGCACTTGAACTTAATGTCAGCAAAACACGAATTTGTAAGATTGATATATCGTTACTAAATCGTGGAATTTGTACAAGTTCCATGTTCTCTTAGTAATTTATAATAAATATTATACCATGAAACTTTAATCGAGACTATTAATTTAAACTGTGCTTAATAAAGTCTACTTAATCCTCAGAATATAATATATTAGCCTACAAAAGTGCTATTTAACATTGTAATTTATTAATAAGAAATTACAATAAAATTTTTGTAGGAAATAATAAGAAAAAGATAATATAAAATTAACGGCCCAATAGACTAATTTTAGACAATAAAAAGTCATATTTTATTCTAAGAATTAATTGCTCGTCGTGTTCGATTATAAAACAGCCATGGAAGCTAAATCACGTACTTGTTGAATATATAAAATCAGTGCGCACGCAGAGGTTTTCCTTTCAAAATGATGATCGTGAAGAAGGCGATTTGGCAGCTGCTTCTTTTGATAGTTTTTTGTGATCGTAAGTATTCCTTATTTCATATGCAACATCTTTTATCCCTTTCAGGAAACCAAAACTAAGAATTGTTAAATAAGTGTATAAAAAGTAAAATAAGTGTGTAAAATAAATAATTGTAATATAACAAAAACCAAATTTTTATTAAGATAAAGTTATGTTAATAAGAAATTGAGCCGACTTCACAAACTTTTTTCATTTATATGTATTACCAGTTAAAAGCTTAAGACCATTAATTGAAAATATTTATTATATGATATGAAATTAAACTTATAATTTAACATATTTTAATTAGCATTGATGCAATCATATACAATAATTACTTCTTTATAATCGAATAAATATATATAATAGTTTATTGACTCCCCTCAGGGTTGTAAGGCGTTTTGAAGGGACGTTCCCAACCCTTTACAGTAGCTTACATTATCTCTTAAGGCCATTCTACAATTGCGTAAACGTAGTTGTTGGGTTGTAGGAGTAGAAGTAGTAGTATAGTGTTGTACATCAAAGTAATATACAATAGAGTGAGATACGTCATAATTGAAGTGAATGATTGGTTAGCTCTTACGTCCTATATCGTTGTAGTCGTGAAAGATGAAGTTCAGCCATCTTTTACAACAGGCTTTACAATCGGAGATGCTAGTTTAAAACTGTATTTTACAACACTGTACAACCGATAACAACCACGTTTACGCAATTGTAGAATGGCCTTTAACCTTATCTTAATACTAGACCTTACAACTAGGTTCCCTATCTAACCGCACGCACACACACACACACACACACACACACACACACACACACACACACACACACACACACACACACACACACACACACACACACACACACACACGCACACGCACACGCACACGCACACGCACACA